ATTTTCTCCTTAGTGATAGCTACATATATCACGGTAATGCACTTAAAGTGCATTCATTTTGACTTAAGTCAAATTCTTTACTTAGCTGCTAAGTCGAACTTAAGTTGTGCTTTCTGAAACAGACTTACGTGATAAAATTAAGTTTGACTTAACTTTAACTTAGTTTTGGACTTAACCCATTCACTTTAAGTCAGAGTTTTTTTATGAAACTGGCTCCCGGTCCGGTAAAAGGTCTCGCAGGCTTTTAATGACTCATCCATCAGAGTATTCGACAGAGGCGGATATTTTGTTGATACCTACACGTCACTTTCGTTCTGAGTTGGACTTCTTTGATGAATGATTTCTCACATTTTCAATTTCACCGAATGTAAATATAGCGCCACTAAAAACGATAGCAATCGTTTAGTTTATTTTCCACGTAAGATTTTAGATTATAGGGGAGGAGGAAAGAGAGATTCCAGAACACCCATAGCTTTGGCAAGTACTTCAGTAACATAATAATGTTTGATTTTTAATATGCGATATCGATTTCTCATTATTATTAAACACAGTACATCTGAGAAGAAGCATTAATAAATAAAAAACAGGCTGATTGTCGATCTGAATGTTTAGTGTCTAATTGGTCTGATAAGAGTCCATGTTTTTCCTGGTTTATTTAAACATTGTAAATTTTCACATACACCATTGACTATTAAGATTGGAGCTTGATTTGTTTCATTAAATATTAATTGTGGACGTTCCATGCGTATATACAATGTTTGACTTGATATCGAACTTAAATTTGAATCACCATCGATATATTCGACTAAATAAGAGTAAGGATCGTTTTTCGATAATTTCCAGTTGATTCCATCGACTGAAAAAGCATGTTTTGCATCGAATGGAGCATAACACATTCCATGATAGAGAATATGAAACGATCCGCGAATATCTTGCCATAAAAATGCATCTTCGCCAAATCCGGCTACACAATACCATGGTGTCGGTAGAATTGGTTGATCAGAGGTTAAACGATAGGGACCTAGAAAATGGTCGGCAATTGCAACTCCAATGAACTCTTTGCCACTATGGCAATAGCCAGCTGTAAATGCTAACATAATCGAGCCATTGGATAGTAATAAAGGTGACGGGTTTGAATAGTCACAATCAAGAGTGGCTGAACTGTTCCAATTGGTAAAATTCAAAGATGGATGAACAGTCCACGGCCCATTAATGGATTGGGAAGTTGCTACATGAATTGATGGACCGGGATCGCCTGTATTATATAACAGGCGAGGATAATTGTCATTGCTTTTATTCTCGCTATCGCAATGAGGTGGCGGAGATGGTATCGTTCCATCACCAATCATAAATAATAAATATGTCCCATCATTTGTCCGACGTATTGTAGGATTGTGGGCAAATACTGGTATAACTGTTTCTACAAATGAATAAGGGCCTTCTGGATTTTGACTAACAGCGCGAATAATAGAAGACGCTGACATGAAGTCGTTTAGTGTACAGTTGTTGACCATTTCGGCTACAAATAAATGATATTGATTCTCGGCATAGAGGATATTTCCACCCCAACTCGCACCGACGCCCGAGCTTATATTATGATAACCGTATCGGTGTGAAGTTGGTAGAATGGCAAGCACATCACATTCAGGTGAGCCTGTCCATGACACATCACATTGACACACCTGATTCTTAACATCACATTTTCCATTTAGAGAACAATCGAAATCGGAAATACAAGTGTGTACCACATTAAAACTAAATTCCGCCATGAAAATTGAAGTAATTAATATTATTGTAATCGTCATAATTCAATGGCAATAGTAAATAACAACAAATGCATGTATTAATATCGAAGACAGCAAAAAGTTGTCATCAACGATAATACAGTAACTACGGGTTATATTTACATACTATAACCAAGATAAACGAAAAGAAAAAGAAACAGAAAAAAGAAAAAAAAATATTATTAAGTAAACAGAAGAAGAAAAGTAAGAACAGGTGAACGTTAAGTGGTAACAAAAATCATGGTTCAACTTGACTTTTCTGTCTTTTTCTTTGCACTATGTCAACTTTTGTGTAGTTCATTTTTTTTTTGAAAGATTGAATCGTTTATTTGATCTGCGATGATCGCTTCTTATTTTGCCGTATGTAAGGAGGGGTCATTACGGCTATTTTTTTTATTAAACTTACTCTTAATCTGACTGATTCATCAGTTTTTCATAAGAAAGAAGAGAAAATAATACACGGTTCTGGAAAAGCCAATAAGAAAATATACTGTTCCTGAGTTTTCGATCGCATACACACGTTTAGCGGAGGAAATTAACCATATCTTGAAATTTTGAGCTCATTCTAATATTTATTGAGTGATTAGTGAACTTTTTAATATTAGGTGAAAAAAGTCTGAAAACGGAAATTTTCGTAAAACTTGCTTTTCGGTAGATATTAGAACTTTTTCGAAAAGTGCATATTGCCATGAGGCTCAGCATGATCGATTACCTATAGTCCATCCAATAGTCACTGAGTGTCAGTCCTGGAACTCCACAAACGATGGTTTCTGGAAAACCTCCAGCACAATGCAGCATCACTGGCGCTATGACCAATGGGTATAGCACACATAGAGGAATATTCAGCGAAAGGTTGAGCTTGATTGGACTTTAGCTGTTTGTAGCGTTTACAAAATGCGGAATGGTGAATTTCCCGAAACATTTTTAGCATAGAAAATTTAAAAAAGTTTTTCTAGAAAACTCAATGTTATATATGGTTTGGTATAGCTTGACGAGCTAATTCTGAATATTACGATGGTTTTGCGCTAAAATGTTATATTAGTCGCAAAAAAAAGGCATTTGGGGTCCAAAACCATGGTT